CAAGGGGCGCGATGGGGGGCTGCCCTCGCCCAGCACCCACAGCCCAGACGCGGCCCCCGAGGCGGCCCGGCCACCGGCCCGCTCCCAGCGCACTGCCTCGGCCTGGACTTTGGCGACGCCGCCCGGCCGACTGCGCGGAAGGCGCCCGGGCTACCCTGTCCGGCCCAGGGGCCCAGGCGCCGCTGCTCGACTGCCAGGCGCGCGGTCACCCGATGGCCCTGGAGCCCCAGCCGCAGGGCCCGGAGAGGGCCCAGAGACGCAGCTCGAGCCCCGCCGGATGCAGCGCGAGGAGGGCGGGCGGAGGCTCCCGGTGAGGAGTGGCCGCCCTGGGCGAGCAGCTGAGCTTCCCGGGCAGCCTGGATGTCATCGAGGTGTCCTGGCCCAGTGGGGGTCCCCGCGCCCCAGCCCCTGTGCTGCCCACGGCGCCCTCGGCTCAGCCGTCAGATGCAGGACCCGTTATAAATATATATTATATGTAATGCAAAGAAAGGTAAATGGTTTTACCTCTATTTTTACCGAGAAGTAAATATTTCGATTTTTTAAATTAAACCGTGCCTCCCCAAGCAGCTCATCTTGCGTGGCTCTTTCAAAGAGCCATGTACAGAGCGCCTCTGGGTCTAAGTGAGTGTGTGCCATCCCTGTACGGGCAAGGATGCTCAGTTCAGAGAGGCCGCTGGAGTAGCTGGAGGTCCCGGAGTTGGTGCAGTTAATATTCGAGCTTATGTTATCTTTTGTGGGCTGGGTTTCGTCAACCTAAATAACAAATGAAAGCTGTAAAAGGAAGTGATATTTATTTTTGAAGAGGGCACTGCGTTGGAAATACAGTGTATCAAGTGAGCTATATGTGTATTCCGGCAGGTAAAGGGAGACAGAGATTTTTAAAGGGAAAATGAGGGGCAGTACATAAGTTTTTTTTTTTTTTTTTTGAGACAGAGTCTTGCTTTGTTGCCCAGGCTAGAGTGAGTGCCATGGCGTCAGCCTGGCTCACAGCAACCTCAATCTCCTGGGCTCAAGCAATCCTCCTGCCTCAGACTCCCGAGTAGCTGGGACTACAGGCATGTGCCACCATGCTGGCTCATTTTTTCTGTATGTAGTAGTTGGCCAGTTAATTTCTATTTATAGTAGAGACGGGTCTCGCTCTTGCTCAGGCTGGTTTCGAACTCCGGACCTCAAGTGATCGGCCCGCTTCAGCTTCCCAGAGTGCTAGGATTACAGGTGTGAGCCACCGCGCCTGGCCAATTTTTGACATAATTATCCTCGATTACCCGGTGGCTCCTGTCTGAGGTTGGACAGGCGATTGATTTGGAGATGTCCTTACAGAAGTATTACTTTTGTGCAAGGTCATGGTTTCTGCAGAGTCTGTTGTGGGGGTTCTTGTTTTCAGGCATTTGTGCAAGAGAACCCTCCCTTCATGGCCTGCCCCTGCTCTGTTTGTCAGGTTTTTTTTTTTTTTTTAACAACACAAGTGACTCCATTTTGATTCGGGCACTTTCCACAGTTTCTATGACAGGTGCAGAGCAGGGAGTGGGCACCGTGAGGTTGTAAGGTGAGGGGGACAGCAGGACCCCACTGAGGTTGAGGGCTCCCAGGTAGAGGTAATCTTAAGGAGGGGGCATTCAGCAGCTGGAGCAGGGGGAGAAGGAATGCTATTCTGGTAAAGAGGGCTGGGCTCTCACACTGAGTGTTTTGGGAAATGTGTAAGTCTAAGAGATGGGAGGCTGTGGCTCTAGGTGACAGCACATCGAGAAGGAGTGTGTTGGGAGTGGTTGCCCCGCCCCTCCCGGTGTATCATCACTGGCTTTTTTTAGAATTGCTGGTGCGTTGTGCATGTGACTATTAAGATGAAGTCATACAGGTTAGGACTGCACTAGTGGCCCCAAGCAATGACTGGTATTCTTAGAGGAAGCCCAGAGACATACACACGGAGGGATGAGGGTCCTGTAACTCCAGGGTTGAGACTGGAGTGATGGGGCTGTAAACCAAGGGATGCAAAATGTTGCCAGCGACCAGCAGAAGCAAGGAAGAGGCAGGAAAAGATTCTTCCCTAGAACTTTCGGAGGGAGCCTGGCCCAGATGATACCTTGATTTGGGGCTTGTAGCTTTGAGAGCACAAATTTCTGTTATTTTAAGCCACCTAGTACATGGCGATTTGGCATGGCAGCCCCAGGAAAGGAATGCATAGCCCAAACCCTAACCTTCCAAGTTTGTTTCTGGAAAAATAATTTGACAGCAATGTGTGGGCTGGGGGCCGGGTCTGATCGGCGCGTGTGAGCTTGTCCTGGTTTCTGCAGTCAGCACCAGGCTGGCTTCGCTGTGTGCACCCTGGGGGAGAGGTGGACTCGTTTGTAGTGACTTTCCCCAAGGGTGGACACACAAGTACTCCCCCATCTTCTTCTTCTTTTTTTTTTTAAACATCTTGGAACCTGGTCTCAGGCCATCGACTCTGGGCATCTCAAGCGTACAGGGAGTGAGCTGGGAACGTGTCTGCACCCCACGGAACAGGCCGGGGACACGGCCATGACCCCTTTAGGGAGCTCTGAAGGGCTGTGCTGCCACCGCATTGGGGTCCTGGAGCAATCGCTGCACGAGGAGAGACTGACGATGCCCCAGTGGCATTCACGCGGTGATTGCTGTTCACGCAAGTCACATTTCTGGGGACAGAGGTCGGATTTGCTAAGCCTAAATCACGGGCCTTCTTCGTGGCTGCCCTGGGAGGTGGAGAGTGAGGATGGCACCTGCGGCTCTCTGAGACCCGCACCCCCCCCACCCCCCACCCCCGTGGCGGGTGAATGCATCACGGCTCTTACGTGTGTTGATTTAGAACTCTTGTTCTTTTCAAGTGTGGGTTTTCAGCAAAAATAATTTTCAGTGTTTGAGTCTTCTCTGAACCGTGTGGAAGAGAACTGTGTCCATTCTGTACCTCAGAGTCATAGTCAGAGCTCTGAGGGAGCTCCTCCTCCACTCAGGGTGACATGGTCTTAGCAACCACAAGGATTAGGATTGTTAGCCTTTTTTGACTTGTAGACCATTTCAAAACCAGATTAAAGAATATTTCTTTTGTGGCTGGGCACAGTGGCTCACGTCTGTAATCCTAGCACTCTGGGAGGCTGAGGGAGGAGGATTGCTTGAGCCCAGGAGTTTGAGCTGTGATGATGCCACTGCACTCCAGGGTGACAGAGTGAGACTCTGTCTAAAAAAAAAGTTATTTATTTTTCCCTTTTATTTTCTATTTTTATGTTAATTTTCTTGCCTTTATATTATTCCATGAATTTTGCGCCACCTTCCTTGTTTTCTTGGTAAGCGGTGGGTTGAAATGAGCAAATACAGGCAGCTGACACCATGGAACCACTGTAGATATAACCAAAAGGACTGGCTGAAGCATAGTGCCCTTGCACCATGAGCCTTCTGGACTCATGGTGATCTCTGGGTTTTGTTTCTCACTGGAATTTGGGGGATTAGAGGTTGGGGGAGGCTCTGAGCAGCAGATCAGTCTCTGCTTAGCCTCCAAGTACACCCTTAGAGAAGGAAGATCCTGTAACTCAGCTGCCATTTTCTTTTCTTAGCAGAGAATGGTAGGGGTCTTCATGAAGATCTGTGGCCTCTGCCCCTCCATTGGCACTGGCGTGGATAAGTGCCACTTACTTGGGTAAGTGTTGCTGGAACAGCGCCACCCAGAGGACATCCGGGTGTTTGGGTGTGGGTATGTGTGGCCCCTTGCTTCGCCACAGCAGTGACAGCAGTGATGTTTGGTGTGTGAGATCTTAGGGTGACATGGATCTTGATTCGTTAAAGCCCCTGAATACAGAGCCACAAATGCAACTTGGCAACCGAGAGCCTTATAGCTTTAAAGCATAGGATGAGTTCTGAGGGGTTTGTGTTCCAGGGGTCTAGCTGGGTCCCCAACTCTGCATCGGAACACAATCCTGCTGGATTCCTGTCCTTCCCAGTTGGGAGGTGGCACAGCTCAACGGCAAAGACACTGGGTCAAGACTGGGTTCAGGCCGGGCACGGTGGCTCACGCCTGTAATCATAGCACTCTGGGAGGCCGAGGTGGACGGATCGCTCAAGATCAGGAGTTGGAAACCAGCCTCAGCAAGAGCGAGACCCTGTCTCTACTAAAAATAGAAAGAAATTAATTGGCCAACTAAAAATACATAGAAAAAATTAGCCGGGCATGGTGGCGTATGCCTGTAGTCTCAGCTACTTGGGAGGCTGAGGCAGGAGGATTGCCTGAGCCCAGGAGTTTGAGGTTGCTGTGAGCTAGGCTGACACCACGGCACTCTAGCCCAGGCAACAGAGTGAGACTCTGTCTTAAAAAAAAAAAAAAAAGACTGGGTTCAAACTCCCCGTGTACTAACTCACTCTTACTTGTTATGTGACCTTGGAAAAGAGTCTTCATCTGCAAAATGGGAGGAATCATCAATTTTTTTTTTTTAGACAGAGTCTCACCCAGGCTAGAGTTGCCCAGGCTAGAGTGAGTGCTGTGGCATCAGCCTAGCTCACAGAAACCTCAAACTCCTGGGCTCAAGTAGCTGGGACTACAGGCATGTGTCACCATGCCCGGCTAATTTTTTCTATATATTTTTAGTCAGCCAATTAATTTCTTTCTATTTTTAGAAGCGACTGGGTCTTGTTCTTGCTCAGGCTGGTTTCGAACTCCTGCCCTTGAGTAATCCTCCCTCCTCGGCCTCCCAGAGTGCTAGGCGTGAGCCATCGTGCCTGGCTGGAATCATCGATTTTTGTTGTGAAGATTAAGTGACTTAATGTATGTAAACCACTTAAAAGAGTGACTGGCACACCGTCAGCTGTTGTTTTTATGGTCAGACTATGCCATCTTTTGGGCCTGTGAACTTGCTTTAACCAGTTGACTTTGAATTTGAAACAGGAATTAGTGATTGGAGGTGGGAGGGCAGAAAAAAACAATAGGAGATGCATTTCACTGGTGTGCCCCCTTTACAAAACGCTTCTGGAATTTTGCCAGTAAACTGTCAGAATCTGTCCCCCATCCACTGTCCTGGGCTTGTTAAGGAGCTCTCAGATCCTTCCACACAGATTGGGAGTTTAGTCCTTCTAGCTATTCATGTGTCCTTTTAATTAGACCCAGGACGTTTAGGTGATCCATGGATCTTCAGCTTGCGGGGGTAAATGAACGGTTAACTTTTTACAACAAGACATAAAGTTACGGCAGAAAGCCAACCACTGCCATCCTGGTGGACAACCCAAGAAACATCTGCCGGTAAGTACAGTGCAACCACGTATCTCTACTCCATCATTCCCAAACATAGCATTTCCTAAAGGAAAAAAACAAACAAACAAACCACAGAAAAGGAAAATCAGTCTTCATGAGGCTGAGAAACATCCTGGGCCTGTCTCCTTCCTGGTGCACAGCTGGTTGTTGAGGGGTTTATCTCCCGGGTATCATTCTCTCTCACCTCTTATCCCATCTCAGCGAGGCGGCTGAGTTTAGGGCCAACCAGAAAGGTTTGGGGGGAAGTAGGAATTTGGGTGGCTGAGCAGTGATATGTGTGTCATGAAATTTGCTCCCCTCTCTCAAGCTTTGGTGGAGCTTCAGGCCGTAGCAACAGGCGAGCAGGGTAAGAGCTGGAGACCACTCACCCACATCCCAGCCTCGCCCCCTGCCCCACGTTGGTGTCCCTCTGCTGGGCTTATACCCGTAGGGTTGTTAAGGGCCTCAGTCCTTGGGGAAAGGCCACTGTCATGTCCAGCCCCTTACCCACCGTCTTACCTGAAGGCAATGAGATCGCCAGGAAGAAGAGTAACCCGGGAAGATAGAGGCCCATGGTGGCGGAGGAGGGTGCAGACCTGGAACTCTGGGGCGTGGCTGCTGGGAACCTCCTTTGTCGAGCTGGGCTGGGCTGGGTGGGGCTGGACGCTGGCCTTGCTCTTTCAGGAGGGGCAGACTGGGCAGGTCACAGGCCCCTGCAGAGTTTGAGGAAGAAGAGTACTGGGCTTATCAGTGCTGCTGTACGAGAGGAAGGCACCCGGCAAAGACCGGAAGGTTTCCCACCTGCAGGATAGGACCAAAGACCAGGATCCTTGAGCCCAGGCCCAAACACTTTCCCCTCTCAATTCAAATGTCTCTTGATATAAAAGTGGCAGGGAAAGCACCTGCTTTGTGTCTCCTTTCCTCTGGAGTCCCACTGAGAGCACAGGAGCCCGGAGGAGTGATGTCATAAAACGCAGGCTCAATTTAAGACTGAACAGGATATAAGTGAGAACTTCCTGTTGTGTTCCAAGAAACAGAGAGTCTCAAGGTCAACTGTTGGCCTGGCCTAGGGAGGTACCGTGTTTCCCCGAAAATAAGCCCTACCCATAAAATAAGCCCTAGCAGGATTTCTAAGCATTTGCAAAATAGAAGCCCTACCCCGAAAATAAGCCCTAGTGACGGGCGTGGCTACGCAGCGCATCTGCACAACCCATGCGTTTCGTCGTGGAGTGGTAAAGCAGACAAGCAGCCCTTCTCATCTGCCCCGTGAGAGCTCTGTTGCTTGCCATGAGAGATTGGGGCCAATGGTTCTAAAGGAAATAGAGTTGCAAGAAATTCAGGATGGAATTCGGGATTTGGAGAGTTAGGATGATGATCCAGAAGAAGACGACTTAACTACATTTGAATAAATGTAGATTGTTGTACCGTACTTAAAAAAATAACACATGCCTTGGAAATAAGCCCTAGGGTATCTTCTTGAGGAAAAGTAAATATAAGACCCTGTCTTATTTTTGTGGAAATATGGTAGGTGCTGAGAAATAGCAGAAAAGGAACAGCTCCTGTTTCTGGTGGTTGATTTATTTACCTGGCTGGAGGCAGATGCTGCAAAAATGTTCCCAGAAAAGTTCACGGACGGACTTCTTCTTTCAAATGGCTGGCATGAAATGCTGGCTAGGATTTGAAGACTTTGAAGGCTCCCTTTTTGGAGTTGCTGGGTTGGAACTCTCCTCTGGTCTCTCACAAGAAGAGCCAGTTTAGTGCTGTGTGCAAGGTTGGATGCCCAGTATCGGGATGGAGCCAGGCAGAGCTTCCCTGCGGCTACAATGAGCCAGCTCTGGGGAAGGGTCATTAGGTCTGTCCCCCCTTGGGGTAGTGATGGATGAGTGAGAGTGGAGAAGACACTAACTTTGGTTTTGTTCTGCCCCTTGAGGCAGGTTTGTACCCAAGGGGCCCACGACTATAGGAATCTGAGTCTGTAACGTGGCAGGAGAGCACAGTTTTGCTGGTTATGCTCTGTTGGCCGACTCACACCGTCAGATACATTGTTAAGTATCTCTGAGCCTCAGGTTCCTCTTCTCAAAAAGTGCAATGCAAGAGTTTTTTGAGGATGAAATGGGATAAAGCTTATAAAATGCTCTGCACTTAAGTCAGTATACATTAGGGTACTCATTATTGTTATTAATATTAAATTCCAACCCATTCTACTAAGTGAAGTATCCCAAGAATGGAAAAACAAGCACCACATGTACTCACCAGCAAATTGGTATTAATGGATCAACACCTAAGTGGACACATAGGAATAACATTTATCGGGTGTTGGGCAGGTGGGAGGGGAGGAGGGGACGGGTATATACAAACACAATGAGTGCGATGTGCACCGTCTGGGGGATGGTCATGCTTGAAGCTCTGACTCGAGGGGGGATGGGGGACATGGGCAATATATGTAACCTGAACATTTGTCCACCCATAATATGCTGAAATACAAAAAATATTAAATTCCACCACTATAGCTATATTCCTTTCTCCTTTGCGGACTCTCCCCAGATACTTTGTTAGTGAAGGCAAAATATTGCTGAGAGAGTTTTATCCTGGGTTCCAGGGATGCTTACAGAGCTGAGGGCACCTCTGTGGATTGGAACGGAGAGGGGCAGAGACAGTGGATTAGTGCAGTGGAAGTAGGTCGGTGCTGGGTCGGGGCTGGGGATTCCCTAGCAGGAGACCCTCTGTGGGACAGACAGTCCCTGCCCATAAAGTTCAGATCTTATCCTAACAATCTGCTGACAGGCGTGGCACAGGCTCAGGCCGCCCCATCCGTTTAGAGATGGAGAAATCAGGGCTCACAGAGAAAGGGTGCATGCTATGGCGGTGCCGGGTCAAGGATTCCGGTCTCTTGATTCTTGGTTCAGAACTCTGTCCTCGGCTGGGTGTGGTGGCTCATGCCTGTAATCCTAGCTCTGGGAGGCCAAGGTGGGAGGATTGCTTGAGCTCAGGAGTTTGAGACCAGACTGAGCAAGAGCGAGACCTCGTCTCTACTGTAAATAGAAAAAAATAGCCAGTCAACTAAAAATGAAATGAAAACATTAGCTGGGCATGGTGGTGAATGTCTGTAGTCCCAGCTACTCGAGAGGCTGAGGTAGGAGGATTGCTTGAGCCCAGGAGTTTGAGGTTGCTGTGAGCTAGGCTGATGCCACGGCGTTTATTCTAGCCTGGGCAACAAATCGAGACTTTGTCTCAAAAAAAAAAAAGAACAAAGAAGTCTGTGCTCCTTATAGTTTTAAGTTGTCCAATCACATGTGAGGGAATGTGGGAAGCCTGAACCTAACATTTTCTCACTACATCGGAGCCCCCTCCTAGACAGTTCTGGAAAAGCAGATCGGTATGTGTTCAGGACATGCCCTTTCCTTCATGCCCATGTGTGTCCTTGTCAATGAGTCGCTGATCTCACCTTGTGGCAGGTGGCTGTCCTGATGGTGCCGAGTGTGCCCCACCCCTGGCTGAGGTCTTGTTGGAAAACGTTGCCAGGGAAATAAAAACCATTCCCTTTTCTTCCCTTTGGGGTTGCTCTGTTGGTTGATATTTTCTTCCTTTATCTGTAGTCTGCTAGATTTCTCATGCTCTTTCTAGCGCACATCTAGTGAATTACCATGTGGGAGGAAGACCCTTCTCTACCCTTTCAACAGTCATTCGCCAGTCTGGTATTTCCTGAGTGCAGTGACTTCCCTGCTTGTTTTTCTCCCAGGTGCAAATTAATTTTTTCCATGGCTTTTGCTTTTAAACTTTTAAAATAAATCGTTGCTAAAAGATGACATTTAACATGCCTAAATAAAAACAAGCAAATTCTATCCATAGCTTAGCAATGTCACGTAACGTAAACACTGTGTCAACGCTGCTCGGATCAAGACGGCCGAACTTTCCAGCACCAGAAGGCCTGGGGTATTGCACCCTGTCCAGTCACGGCTGGCTTCCTCCCCGTAAGGGAGCCACTGCTTTGATTTGGAGAGTCCCCACACGTTTGCTCCGTTTTGTGGTTTTCCTTCTAAACTGATCAATGCTTTCCACGTGCACACATGAAAGTAACATTTGTCAGGTGTCAGGCAGGAGGGACGGGATGGGTATATTCACACCTAATGGGTGCACACCATTTGGGGGATGGACATGCTTGAAGTTCTGACTCGGACGAGGCAAAGACAATTATATTTAACCTAAACATTTGTACTCACATAATATTCTGGGAAAAAAAAGTAGCAATCAGTTTTCAAATCAGGAAAAAAAAATACATCTAATCTGTATTCAGTTATTGTTTACATAAACCAAAAAAAAAAAAACATTACTAAATAGTGTAGTTTAATTTGCCTGTTTTTTTGCCTATATAGAAATGGCAGCACAAATGTATTATTGGTGGCTGGCTTCTTTTCCTTCATTCTTTTCTTTTTTTTTTGAGACAGAGTCTTGCTTTGTTGCCCAGGCTAGAGTGAGTGCTGGGCGTCAGCCTAGCTCACAGCAACCTCAAACTCCTGGGCTCAAGCAATCCTCCTGCCTCAGCCTGGGACTACAGGCATGCGCCACCATGCCTGGCTAATTTTTTCTATATATATTAGTTGGCCAATTAATTTCTTTCTATTTTTAGTAGAGACAGGGTCTCGCTCTTGCTCAGGCTGGTCTCGATCTCCTAACCTCGAGCAATCTGCCCGCCTTGGCCTCCCGGAGTGCTAGGATTACAGGCGTGAGCCACCGCGCCCGGCCTTAACATGCTTTTAAATAAGATCTGTCTCTCTCATCTACTTATCCTGTTTACAGCAATTTTCTGTCAATCAGTCATCATCCTTATTAAGTCAAGTCCATACTTTATTCAGGTTCCCTTAGTTTTCACCTGGCGTCCTCTTTCTGTTCCAGTGTCCCATTCGGTATAGCTCACATTTACTTGTCATGTCTCTTTTGGTTCCTCTTGGCTGTGACAGTTTCTCAGATTTTCTCTGCTTTTGATGACTTTGACCATTTTTGTGGGAGTGCTGGTCCTGTACCTGGGAAAGTTCAGAAAGGGAAATAAGATCTGGTTGTCCCAAGTGATCAAGGAACGCACCTGGCTGGAAGGGGCTGTGTAACCAGGTGAATCAGTATATTATCCTCGGTGGGATTTGATTGTGTTAGGGCTCTTGGGACATTCTGTGACAGGAGATGGCTTGGAACTGATTCGTGGGCACTCACAGGGCAGAAAGACCTCAGCCCTTGCTTTCAAGACTGAGTGCCCTGTTGATACTGGGACTGTGCCCAGAAGTCCTCAGGGCTGGCTTGTGTTCTTCCTTGGCTTCTGCCACATTATCTACGGGACATGATTCATTCCTTTGGGCATTTTAGTGCCTTCTCCTTCCTCAAATTTTTTACCACAGTTCTAACAAGCAAGGCTGTCCTTACCTCCGTGGAATCCTGGGGATGACTGAGGGCTGCATGGGACAATCTCATAATGTTGGTCACAAATCTGGCTTGCGAAAAATATTTAGCCTTATTTATACCTGTGAGCAGATCCTCAGCTCCCTCTTCCCCTGTGCGGCCCTGGGGAAGGTCTAGGATACATTCCCAAGGCCCTGCTTATCTTAAACTTATCCCTATAGCTGGAA